CAACGTTTGGCTCAACGTCTTCACAGCAAAGCAATTCATAACACAACACAGAGCCAGATACTACTTCAACATGATAAAGCATCCACTCCAAATTGAATGGGCGTTCTGAATTGTTCTCTTCCTGAGCCGTCGCAGCGCATCTTAGAAAGTCGGCACCATCAGTCGCCGTCAAGAAGACACCGTAACGCTCGAAGGCCACCAGAGGCCATTGTCCCTTTGGCCAGACTTGACATTAGTGCCAGCGACCGATTCATAAAAGGCACTCTTCGGTCGCCTCCAATAAAAAGCCGCAGCGTCCGCGTATATATAAACGCCTAGCGCTTCAAGACTTCACTGTCTAGCGCACTTATCCGTCATCTCGAAGCGAAAACAGATCGAGCTTACCGATAAGAGAGCCGCCTACGGTATATACTTAAACCTCGGAGCTAGGCCGCTCAACAATAGCGGGCTGTGACGTAGCACTTTCTCGAAAGAGCGAACGGTACAAAAAAAAACACACACATAAGACAACCAGTGATCACTCACAACCATGCGTATATACTATAGCTAGACATGAGGGAGCACTTCCGACTTCGTCGCAACGGTATTTCATTACGTCATTGGGATTAGCCAGCCGCAAGGTGTCACGTGGTGCAACGCTCTCCGTTCGAATACAGTCGAATGCGCTTTCTTTGGCGCCTAAAGACTAGACCGATCGCTATCTGTAGTCGCGATCTCGCGAAAAGTCGGCGTACAGCTACTCGGATTAACGCTGTACTTCTTCGCGGAGGTGCTCCATTCCCGCGATGAGACTTTTTTTGTTTCTCTTGTCAAGCAGCGCCACCACGGCCCCCTACATCATAACTCTAGAGGTGTTTCCTCGCGCTAAAAAAGAGATCCGTCGTCTGCTACGCGCTGCGCAATGCACGACATATCCGTATAAGCCCGGCTGTGCTTGCTTGCTTACGTAGTGCTATAGCAACCTCGTCAGTAAGTACGGTTGGGCAACGGGTGCGCCCTCGAGCGGCCATCGGTCACTTCTTTTTTCAAAATATCGCTCCTGTTTCGTGTATATATATTTACGGCTTTTTATGTACATAAATTTGATTTCGAATTCAATGTGAAGCCAAGTTTCAAAGGGCCCCGCGTTAATACATGCGTGCTCATGCATTAATTCAAATTTTCTTTTTCTACGTGTGTTCTTTGGTAAGATCATCAATAATTCAAATTTGAAAACATTCGTGTACCCATCGCGAATATGGAGGACGTTTTCTGAATTGAGAGGGTACATGAAATAAATTACTCAGTTCATTTGCAGCATTATTTTGAATTATATTACTGTCTTTACTGAAGGACTGAATTGAAATGGCCGACTGTAGGCTTATTTATTGGTAAGAACACATCAAACAGTGATGGATTGGTGGCTTGAGTACTGTTCTGCCGCTCAGGAACACCAACGTGTGGGTTCCTCTCAGAATTTCGCCGCGTGGAGAGGGGACCGGTGTTCATTGCAATACAATATAACTTGTACACTAAATTAGCAAGGTTTCAAGCATATCACGCTCGGCGTACAATCTACCGGGGACTTCATACACGCTATGCACCATGTACAGACGGGTCCACTGTTAAAGGGAACACCTGCGTGAGCAGCATGTTTAGATTCCGCTATCTTACAAAATCATAGCGGCTTAGATATGCATAAGGCTACTGGTGCCTAAAAGTTCCGACTCCTTTTGACAGACTATTGACTCGCACGAAGATTGTCTCTTAATCCACTTGCTCTTAGACCGCCAGGAATATTGATGGTTTGCATTGGAGTGTTCCTTTTTCGATTGATTTGTGGGGTTTAACGTCCCAAAACCACCATTTGATTATGAGAGATGCCGTAGTGGAGGGCTACGGAACACATTCGAGTGTTCCTATGATAGTGTAACCGCTGCTGCGATATGTTCGGGGACGGGGAAGGGGGGCCTGCGGCCTTGTCAAGCTGGCATCACGCCAGCTTTTTCTGCAGGTCTCCTGCATCATGTATTCTTGATGCGAAATAATGTCATTATTATTATTATTATTATTATTATTTTATTATTATTATTATTATTATTATTATTATTATTATTAGTATTATTATTATTATTATTATTATTATTATTATTAACAGTGGACCATACTGTACAAAGCACAAGCGTATACGAACAACTTAGGGACGCGCCGAGGATGCCTTCGGCGTTAAAAACGGTAACGAGTGACAGAAAACAACAAGATACAAATGAGCAGTGTGGCACGTGTACTTGTCTTGTGACATGAGCCCAAACCCGACGATGGGCGTTCTGTGCGGTCGTGCAGACATTACAGGGTTACACGCGTTCACTTAGGCACGCGAAAAGAAAGAAAAAAAGAAAGAAAGAAAGAAGGAAAGAAAGAAGGAAAGAAAGAAAGAAAGAAAGAAAGAAAGAAAGAAAGAAAGAAACGCTCGAGCTCATCCGGGTGGTCCCTGGCCGACTCATCGCGCTCCGGGCATCCATTAGGAAGCCGCACAGAAAGTCGGGCTTCGTCTCAGCTCATTTCGCGGCCATTTTGTTACCCCCCCCGGTAAAAAGGCGAAGACCCGGGCAGCAGCTTCGCCCCTTCACCTTACGCCTCTTTTGCACTAAGTATCTGTTTCTTCCACGCTCATCTTTGTACTTCCATCGAGACGTCCTCCGTTCACTCCATCCCTTTCTTCGGATTTCTTTTTCTCTCTTCTTCCTCGTTTCGATTATTAATTTTTAATCACTACGACCAAGCGCTCCCTCGACTAGGGCGTGCACTTCATTACTTCCCGAATGATGCTTCATTCGTTCTGATTCCTTTTTTTTCATTCTGTTATTCATCGCTGTTCTTCGATAGCTCAGTCATTTATTTCCATCGCGAAGTCAGCACCTTCTCATCCACTACTTGGGCGTGCTCCGTTACGCCGCCGTTCATTAACTTTTTTCATGAACTCCCAAACCTTTCAGCAACTCGTTCGTTTTTCTCGTACGCGACTCCTGAATAGGGGCACCACGGAAGAGTTAAAGGGACACTAAAGTCAAATACCAATTTACGTCAGAGTGAAAAGCTCAATGTATGACAACACCTAAAACGACAATGTTATCAATAACAGTGCCTTACTTACCGAGAAATCAAGGTAAATGCACAAGAACGCATGCGCCGAAGTAGGACATTCTCAGAATGATCCCGATGACATCAGACGGACCGCCTACAATTGATCACCAGTAATTGATCTAGCTGCACTAAATAAAGAACCTTCCGTGCATCAAGAGACGCAGCAACAGTGACGTGAGTCGGTCCGGTTGGCCCGCTTCGTTAGGCGGGTAATTTGAAGTGCGCTAACTTGATGCGAGCCACTAAAACGTGATTTTGTTCCAAAATAGACCCTTCCCTGGCACAAAAGTAATACTATGAGATTTCTGGACCGCATATTTTAACAATCAACGTCGACCTAATAGTTGCCTTTAGTGTCCCGTTAAGTAACCCCAGTGGTGGCGCGGTGGCTCTAAGCAGCTTAAAGCGTCTCTAAACTACTCCGGATGTCACAACGAATACGTGTGCTATTCTCCCCTTGCATTTCGCTACTTTCCTCGAAGTTGGCGACTCCGAGGTTCGGTTCACGTACGACATGAGTAATGAAGCTCGAGATCGTTCACATGTGAAAGACTGCAGGCGCGAATTGTTTCCGACCTTGCATTGGCAGACAATCGCACGCCCGTTATACCTTCAATCAAATAACTATCACGCGCTGCCAACCCGTACCACTTTTTTTTTCGCGTTTTCCGCTGCACAAGCGGAGGCAACAGCGTGCAGGCGAAAGGATACTGAAATATTAACAATCTAAAGGCCTTGTGCTGAGCTTTATCGCTTGTTCTACGAGAAAATAAGAGAGAGGAACATATCACCTGTTGGAAGAGCAGTGAAAGGGAGAGAAAGAAAAAGAAAACGATCTCGTATTTGAGCTCGGTGTGGCTTAGAGGGCCTTTTAGGAGGTTTCGCGTCTACTTCAGCACGTGTAGCTCGGGTAATGCGTGCAGCAGTGCGCGGTTACAGGTAGAAAACCCAACACCAAAAATATCTGCGCTACTCTGGGTCACCTCGTCGAATGCGTGCGACGCAACAACACTGGGTGCCGTGTCGGGAGATCTAGAAAACAATGAAAGTTTGCTCAGTTCTTGCAGTGGCCCATATGCGATCCCTGCTGGGGTACCTGAACCTTCTAGCTACGACTCACAACTGCCTTTGCAGCAGGACAGAAATCCAAGCTAGTTGGTAATGCATTGTTAAATAGCCAAAAAGAAACACCAAAAAAAGCAAGTAGACACAACAAGAGTACATCACGGGCACCCGTGTAGTCTTTTTGCTGTGTTCGCGTGTTTTTTTTTTCTGCGCTATTTCACAATGGGATTTATCATTATTCAAGTGTAATTATCATTATGCAGTGAAATTACTGTCAGTCTCTCCCCCCCTTTTGTTTTCTTTTCCCTCTCTTCCCTCTTTCTCATCTTTCTTGTCCCCTTCCTTTATCCCCCAGTGTGGGGTAGCCAACCGGATGTCTTTCTGGTTAACCTCCCTGCCTTCTCCCTTTTGTTGCTTCCTCCCTCCCTCCTATCATTATTCAAGGAGGCATCACGCGAACTCAAGCACTGCGGAACGTTATTCCATCTCCATTACGCAAAGCGGCGTTCTTGATCGCATTGCGAGAACACCAAACGTACCGAATTCCCACACATCTGTAAAAAGTGTCAAAAGGTCATATATGTCCTGGCTTTAAGCCGTTCTACGTCTTTTAAGACGTACGACGCACCGCTTGCACCGCTTTGTGAAAAAGGTTCACGCTGGGTTCGGATACGGGTCACTATGGACTGTCAAGGTACCTGATGTCGAGTAAAATCAGGAAGCAATACATGGTACGACACGCGGGGGGGACCCGAGTTCGAATCCTGGAAGCAAGTTCAGAGAGATTCCGTCGCATGCGAACGTGAGGATACCTTGTAGGCGAAGCGCAGCTCCCAGACGTTCTTGGTTTCGCCGTGCAGGAGAACGTCACTCCTGGACGACTGGCGCACGCCCGGTGGCAACATGGTTGCTGCCACCAGCGTGGCTGGGGCGCCGGCCTGGTCCGAGGTGGACGGTGCTGGCACCACGTTTTGGACCACGGGCTCCAAGTACACCCCTGCGGAGGGAGAAGAACAACGTCACTTCAGTAACCGTCGGTACGTATAGCTGCTGCTTGTACACGTCAGTCGAAAAACCCTACACAACGCGCAGGTATGTTTTTAGAGTTACAGAAGCGATTCCATGAACGTGGTTGTAGGCCCGTGTGCTCACATTTGGGTGCACGATAAAGAATGCCAGTTGGTCGAAATTTCCGGAGCCCTCCACTACGGCATCTATCATAATCATATGGTGGTTTTAGGACGTTCAACTGCACATATCACTCAGACAATCCATCCACGTGGTTAACAGACGTGGTCAAAAATCATTTTCTCGGATAACCTTACTTGTGATCGTTTACCTGTTTGACTCGTTCGTTCTTCGTTTTTTTTATACAATGTTGCGTGTTTTGGCTTGATTTGTGATATGAAAGTGCATTTTGATGTCCGTAAATTGTAAGAATTTTCTGTTGCTCTGTATAAATTTTACCGTCGATTTGTATCGACAAACCGAGGGTCCCACTAAAGTCTCTGGCTCTGGCACCCTCGTCTGTATATCTTAGATTTTGTACCTTGTTTTTGGAAATAATAAAACTTGAAACTTGAAACTTGAAACAGTTGCACCGTACATTGTAGGCACCGTAGCCATAAAGCTGTCTTGTCTGCCACAAATAATTATCTCACTAAATCAAATTGAGAAGGGTGCAAATAAAATAAATAATGAAAATTTCTGGCTTTGCGTGGCAAGCGAGTGTTTTACCACACAGCCACGCCGCTGCTGGTGAATATAGGAAAAATAAGTTCCTCTGCTTGGAACTGCAGTGAAAGTAACTTCCATGCTTCACAAACACACGCGTCCTGCATGCACGCTTCACAATACAACAAATATTGACGTAATGATGCGCGGTACAAGCGTACATTGCTATCGGGCGTCACACCATGGGAATAACATAATCACTTCATAGCTTAGAGCCAGTCACCCAGTACAAAAGGGGCGTAAATCCACCCTTAAGGCCAGTTAGTGGGTGCATAGCAAATTCGAAAAGATTTTATTCACTGTGTTTGAAGTACGCACTATAGGAACAGAATATTGCAATCACGTTTACCTCTTAAACGCAAAGCTTAAGGATTCTCCAATTTTTTTGTAATTAACCTATAGCACATGCCTGCATTAACAAAACAATAACATTTACCATTAATTAGGGCGTACTAAAAATAGCTGTTTATTCAAACCACGACGTGTAAATGGAGCGGAACCAAACCCTATGAAAAAAAAAAAAAAACGACGACCACCTAATGGAACAGTGGGAGGCCAAGCTCGTCCTCGAGGACCTGGAAGACCAGCGACAACTCGCCGCCAGGGCCAAGAGGGCAGTCGAAGCCAGAGTGTTCCTGGACTAGGGAACCCTCTTAACTTAGGGTGATACCGGGCCTCGCTCGGAACAGTGTTTCTAAATGTTTATTCCCCCCTCTCTCTCTCTTTTAGCAACTCATATGCTCGTGTGTTGGCTTCCCACTTGCATGCTACCGAGTTTTCAGCAGCCACTCCCGCCTTCAATTGAACATCCTTGTTGTAGATCTTGCTCCGCGCCCCAAGCGGGCGAAACAGAGCGGATCGCGAGAGGTTATCCCGGGCCGGGCGCGCCTTCGCCAACGTGCGGCGCAGTTCAAGATCCACAATGCGTCGAGACATTCAAGCGTTACTGGCCGAACGGTTTTTCGAGGAAAGGCAAAGTGAGAAGAGGAAAAGCCAGACGCAGTGCAGGAATGAAGGTAAACAGCAGGCCTTGTTGTATACGTGTGCTCGTCAACGTGCGAGAGGGTTTAGTACGCAAGAGTCAAGCACCTTGAAAATGAAATGTTCAAAATTCTTAGTTACCGTAGTGAAAATGCTCAGCTATCAATATGCCTATAGCTGCCAAAGGGCCATGTTATCAAGTAATAATGGTCAGTTAGCCGGTCAGTTTGGCGGCGTCCGACTGTACTTTGGTATGTGCGTCTTTTGTGTGCCCATGGATGTGCGTGCGCGTGGTTGAGCGTTTACGTTGTCTGTATATGGAAGCGCGTCGATTAAGTGCACTGATTGTGTGTGTGTGTGTGTGTGTGTGTGTGTGGTGTGTGTGTGCGTGTGTGTGTGCGTGTGTGTGTATGTGCGTGTGTGTGTGTATGTGCGTGCGTGTGTGCGTGCGTGTGCGTGTGTGCGTGCGTGTGCGTACGTGTGTGTGCATGTGCGTGCGTGTGTGCGTGTGCGTCCGTGTATGTGTGCGTGTCTGTGCGCGTAGGTGTGTGCGTGCGTGGGTACGTGTGTGCGTACGTGTGTGTGCATGTGCGTGCGTGTGTGCGTGCGTGTGCGTGTGTGTGCGTGTGCGCGTGTATGTGCACGTGTGTGTGCGTGTGCGCGTGTATGTGCACGTGTGTGTGCGTGTGCGCGTGTATGTGCGCGTGTATGTGCACGTGTGTGTGCGTGTGCGCGTGTATGTGCGCGTGTATGTGCACGTGTGTGTTTGCGTGTGTGTGTTTGTGCGTGTGTGTGCGTGCGTGTGCGTAGGTGTGTGCGTGTGTGTGTGTGTGTGCGTGTATGTGCGCGTGTGTGTGCGCGTCTGTGTGTGCGTGCGTGTGTGCGTGTCTGTGTGCGTGTGCGTGCATGTGTGCGTGCGTGCGCGCGAGCGCGCCCGCTTACGTGTTCCTTCTAAGGTTTGAAATCGTCCTCTGTGTGGTTTCGCACGGTGCTCGTACAGAGGCGTTCAGCATCTGCGCCCACATCAACAAAGGCGAGGTAAACGCCAGCCAGTGGTGCGTTTCATTCTCGAACCATTCACCTATACAGCCAAGGGTGAGCTCTTTCTTCTTTTCCCTTTTCTTTAATTTTGCCTTCTATCTACGCTCTAGAATATCTTTTCACCTGGAAAGCCGTCAGGCGTTGCACCGTATAGGACCATTAGCGTTCTGTATGCAAGTCGACCTCATCGAGAAACGAACCCGCGATCGTTTCGCTTCTAAACCTCGAGCAGCACCATTCCCACTTCGCCAAGCCGAGCGGAGCAATCGGAGCGTTCGCGATTATCTTTTGGGGGCAGACTCGTCGCATCTTCCTCTATCTATAACCTGCGTCTTGAAGAGCCCGCAACCTCAGACCGTTGAACTTGATTGAAACAGCGTTTAAGAGTATGCATAATTGAATAAATATATAAATAATAACACTCGATGTATTGCAGCCAAACGGTTAGCTGGGCGAGTCGGTATGTATCCATACTATTACTTTTATGGCGCGCAAAAAATGCAGAAGAAGAAAGAGACAGACGAGCGCCATAGGCTGGTTCCGAGGTACCTATATGCTTTGTTCCTTTCAAAAATAAATTAGGCGAGAGTTTGCCCTCGTTTGTCTCTTTCTTGTTCTGTGTTTTGTACGCGCTAAAAAAGTTATAATCCCGCTCAACCCTCGATAAAATGAACCCACGTATAACGAAGTGTCAGTTAAAACAAAGTAAATGAATATATAAAAATAGTCTTTCAAAATATATAGTGTTAGAAATAAACCTTTATGACAAATTTTCGGATGTAACGAACTTATTTTCGTGTAAGATGAAACGTTGTTATATTGGGGTTTGAGTGTAAATAAATAAATAGGTGAACTTTCACTAACTATGGTTGGCCAGTTTTCTTTCGGTGAGGCGGGGGATGAGAGGATGAACCCCAGTCCCGTCCCACCCTCTGTCGGTGATAATGAGGACAGTTTCTTGTTCTCTCTTTTTTTTTGGAAGCTGTAATAACTAAGTGAAACCAAAACAACTGAACTCCAGACCATTTTCTGTAGACAGGATTCCAGGGCCCTGAAAACGTTATTCGAGAGCACTGAAGGCAACTAAAGCACTACTGGAGCGCAACCAAAGCGCTACAGAGGCGCAACTAAAGCGCTACTGTAGCTGAACGAACCACACCTTCCTGCTGTACACCTCCCCCTATTCTAATGTGAAACCGAGGGAGTTCCTTTGGCAGTCGCTGACTTTGGGCTGCTCATCTGTACATTCTCTTACCAATCATTGTTGATTGCACTGTAATAAACAGAAACTGTACCTGAGCGGCCACCTCTACAATGGATGTGCTCCCCCAAGTGTGCTTGAGATTCTGACCATCCGTTCGCCCCTTTGTTTCTCCCCCAGTGCAGGGTAGTGAACCAGACGTGCGTATAGTTAACCTCGTTGTCTTCCCTTGCTTCTCTCTCTCTACCTCTCTCTCTCTATTGCGTCCTATGTGAGCGAAAACACTTAGGGTGCATGTACCGCAGGAATCGTGCAAGCTACATTCACCACTGGTCCACTAAAAAAGAAGAAAAAGCAAGTGCGTTAAACACAGACGAACACTTCTTGGCAGACGCAACCAATACTAAAAGACTCATTAACGTTCTAATTTCGCTCATTTTAAACTTCAGACCCGAATCTTGCAGCTGGTACGGGGTGGTTGGACATTTTCTTCTTTCCTTTCTTTTGGTATCAATGTTGTTTACATTTTGCTCCTAGCATCACTTGACATATCTTCTAGGTCACGTATCTTTTGGCGAAACACCATCTTGCTCAGCCATGCTTCTCCGATAGTCTTTTGTGTTTTCCTGTGGGTTTTCTTAGTCTCGCAAAGTGCCAGCCACACAGATTTGTTACAGTAAACTAAAGGGAAATTTAGCGCTATAGTATATGTCAGAGCAGCAGCGCATGGCAATTCAGAAAGCATGAGAATTTATTTAGTGCACGAATGCGCCTAAGCTTCGTTCCATTGGCTCCGTGTCGGTTTTTTACTATTAAATCTCATAATTATTAAATGACGATAGCAGTCCCCGCTTAACTACCTTGGCGCTTTTAGGTTTGATTATTCAAATCAGCCCACAAAGAATCGCTGTTTTATCTGAAATGAAACCCAAAGCAATACAATCAACAGAGCCACACGTGTGTTTGAAGCCGCATGTCAATCCATGTATCCATCACTCGCATGGATGCCGAACTGTGTACCCACAACTCATCCATGTACT